TTGGGAGGACGTTCATTGAATTAGATCATTTCCAGATAAGATGTAATTCTGAGACATTGGTTACTGAATATGAGTTCAGGCTCATATGCTTTTGGCTTCTTATTTGAAGGAAAGAAAAGTCATTTGAGTCTGTTGGTAAATATGTCCTGTTGTGTGTTAAAAAGATATTCTGTTAGCCTGTGTTTCTGGGAATTGTAAAATGTGTATTCATGGATTGTTGGTACATGACTGGCAGTTAAAAATTGCTTAAGTCCTAGGTTTTCACTGAAGATTAGGGTTACTAAGAGTTAACATTTTAATTAATGTGTGTGATTAAACAGACGAGAAATACAGTCTATATGCAAGTGTATGAAGAGGGTAGGATGTATTTTTGGTAAGATAGATTGACGAGAAAAGAGAATAATTTTGTATAAGAAATAATCTTCTGTGGTAAATTTTTGTCCCAGAGTAAAGTGACTGGTTATTTAAGAAAGAGGAAGTATAGGAGAAAGCAGAAAATCTAAACATGTCATAAATTGTCTAAACACATAATAATAGATTTATGAAAATAAAGTTTATCTCTCAATAAATTTGGTATTCGTGGAATGTATCTCAAAATAATAAGCTATTTATGACAAACCCACAGCCAATATCATACTGAATGGGCAAAAACTGTAAGTATTCCCTTTGAAATCTGGCACAAGACAGGGATGCCCTCTCTCACCACTCCTATTCAACATAGTGTTGGAAGTTCTGGCTAGGGCAATCAGGCAAGAGAAAGAAATAATGGATATTCAATTAGGAAAAGAAGAAGTCAAATTGCCCCTGTTTGCAGATGACATGAATTGTATATTTAGAAAACCCCATCGTCTCAGCCCAAAATCTCCTTAAGCTGATAAGCAACTTCAGCAAAGTCTCAGGATACAAAATCAATGTGCAAAAATCACAAGCATTCTTATATACCAATAACAGAAAAACAGAGAACCAAATCATGAATGAACTCCCATTCACAATTGCTTCAAAGTGAATAAAATACCTACGAATCCAACTTACAAGGAATGTCAAGGACCTCTTCAAGGAGAACTACAACCACTGCTCAGTGAAATAAAAGAGAATACAAACAAATGGAAGAACATACCATGCTCATGGATAGGAAGAATCAATATTGTGAAAATGGCCATATTGTCCAAGGTAATTTATAGATTCAATGCCATCCCCATTAAGCTACCAATGACTTTCTTCACAAAATTGGAAAAAATTGCTTTAAAGTTCATATGGAACCAAAAAAGAGCCTGTGTTGTCAAGACAATCCTAAGCCAAAAGAACAAACCTGGAGGCATCACGCTACCTGACTTCAAACTGTACTACAAGGCTACCGTAACCAAACCAGCATGGTACTGGTACCAAAACAGAGATATAGACCAATGGAACAGAACAGAGCCCTCAGAAATAATACCACACATCTACAACCATCTGATCTTTGACAAACCTGACAAAAACAAGAAATGGGGAAAGGATTCCCTATTGAATAAATGGTGCTGGGAAAATTGGCTAGCCATAAGTAGAAAGCTGAAACTGGATCCTTTCCTTACTCCTTATACAAAAATTAATTCAAGATGGATTAGAGACTTATATGTTAGACTTAAAACCATAAAAACCCTAGAAGAAAACCTAGGTAATACCATTCAGGACATGGGCATGGGCAAGGACTTCATGTCTAAAACACCAAAAGCAACGGCAACAAAAGCCAAAATTGACAAATGGGATCTAATTCAACTAAAGAGCTTCTGCATAGCAAAAGAAACTACCATCAGAGTGAACAGGCAACCTACAGAATGGGAGAAAATTTTTGCAATCTACTCATCTGACAAAGGGCTAATATCTAGAACCTACAAAGAACTCAAACAAATTTACAAGAAAAAAACAACCCCATCAAAAAGTAGGCAAAGGATATGAACAGATACTTCTCAAAAGAAGACATTTATACAGCCAGCAGACACATGAAAAAATGCTCATCATCACTGGTCATCAGTGAAATGCAAATCAAAACCACAATGAGATACCATCTCATACCAGTTAGAATGGCGATCATTAAAAAGTCAGGAAACAACAGGTGCTGGAGAGGATGTGGAGAACTAGGAACACTTTTACACTGTTGGTGGGACTGTAAACTAGTTCAATCACTGTGGAAAACAGTGTGGCAATTCCTCAGAGATCTAGAACTAGAAATACCATTTGACCCAGCCATCCCATTACTGGGTATATACCCAAAGGATTATAAGTCATGCTGCTATAAAGACACATGCACACGTATGTTTATTGCATCACTATTCACAATAGCAAAGACTTGGAATCAACCCAAATGTCCATCAGTGACAGACTGGATTAAGAAAATGTGGCACATATCCACCATGGCATACTATGCAGCCATAAAAAGGGATGAGTTCGTGTCCTTTGTAGGGACATGGATTCAGCTGGAAACCATCACTCTCAGCAAACTATCACAAGAATAGAAAACCAAACACCGCATGTTCTCACTCAGAGGTGCGAATTGAACAATAAGATCACTTGGACACAGGAAGGGGAACATCACACACTGGGGCCTATTGTGGGGAGGGAGGAGGGGGGAGGGATAGCATTAGGAGATATACCTAATGTAAATGACGAGTTAATGGGTGCAGCACACCAACATGGCACATGTGTACATATGTAACAAACCTGCACGTTGTGCACATGTACCCTAGAACTTAAAGTATAATTAAAAAAAAGCAAAAAAAAAAAGAAAATAACGTTTATAAAAGGAATTTTCTGTGTGATCAGGTTGGCTACAATTGAAAGGACATTTTTTATTGGTTTTTCTAAGGATTGAGTTTGATGTTTAGAAATGCACTGATGCAGAATTTTAAAATCTAATCCCCTGTGTTAGAACAAGATTTTCTTAAAATGCTGATTTGCTCTTAGTAAAGTTGCAGGACATTTTTATTTTTAATTCCAAAATCTCTTCCCTTAACAGCCATCCTGCAAACTATAAACAGTTTTTATTTATGCTACATTTCTTTCTTAGATCTACCTAATTTTCCTAGTTTCAGGTTAGAAATGCAGCTGTCCTTTTTACTCTTGAAAAGCTATATTGTTTTGCTTGGCTGCAGTAATAATCCTCTCCTTCAATCTTTTCACCTCCAGTAATTTTTCTCCAGTTCTAACACTGATGTTATGGCCCGATGCTAAAATTTTTATCTTGAAAGTCTAGAAAGACAATGTTTCCTTCAGTACAACTTGATTCTGTATTTTTTACTTCTCTTGATGTTTCTGAATTGTTCCATGTAACCAGGAAACTTCCCATGCTGTTACTAAAAACCATGTATTCCCCTCTGCTCAAGGTACTAGTTTTCTTGTTTCCATCCCTCTTTAATATAGTGTACACACATAATCCTGGACACACTTTTCCTGTGTCTGATTAAATTCAGGTATCCTTTTCATCAGGTTTAACTTCCAGATTATCTAAATGGGCTTTCCATAAGGAGAAGCAACACACTGCAGGAGGTTTTCTTTTCTTTGCCTTTTTGATAACTGGCCTAGGAAACAAAGATTCTGTGTTTTACCAAGATAATTTCCTGTGCTTCATGTCTTTATTAGGTTTTTTATTATGTTGGGAAACTAACCTTCAGAAGAGTTCAGGTTTCTACATCCAAATAGCATTCTGTATTGCTTTTAAAGTCTTTTGGTTATCACTCTGGTTAAGAGAATAAGTATTATTTTACAGTCATCTGTGATTCTGTTTAATCAAGGACTTTGAACCTTTTGACATCTTTGGCAGGTATCCACAGGATCAAAATCCTAAGTCTTTTTGACCTAAGGCTAACTTTGGGATTTTCTAATTGGGCCTTGAAGAGCATAAAAGAATGTGTTTGTCATCTTGTGGAAATATTAAATGATTAGGCTTACGTGGTAAATTGTATGGGAAACATTGTTAATTGATAAGTGATTCTGGATCCTTTCTCAGTTACACTTATGGGTATATTATTAAAATATATTTCAAAACTATAGGTTCCTACAAATCTAATATGTTATCAGTCATAAATCTGGATTATTAATATGAGTATTCCAAAAAATTACATGAAATTTGTAAAAGTCTGATGGTCCTGATATTAAGATGTCAATTATAATTCTGGTTGTTATCTTAAAATGCTGCATATAGTAGAGGTGGCTCAATTTCCTTGTCAATTGTAAACTCTCATCAGATTTTTGACCATGACTGTTCTGGGTTTTTGTCATTCATGGTTAATGTTTTAATTCTTCTCTGGAAGCAGTTGCAATCAGCTATAGTCCAAAATTGTTTTTCATGGAATTGCTAATCAAGATTGAGTAAAACAATGGATGATGAAATTATTGATGGATGGATAAAAACTGTGTGCTGATTGTCATGTTGTGATTTGGCTCTGTCGCACTCGCATGGCCGATGTGTGTCCATGTAGCTCCTGTCTGGGAGCTGGAGGAAGCCTATAACACTTTTAACTGCTACCCAGCATTTGTCCCAGGAGTCCCTTTAGTGGTCAAAGTATTGCTAATTGGCACATAAGGCTATCTGTTAAGCAATTTTTAATGCCACTACTTAGTGTGTTTTTGTCTGGTGTTAGAGAAAAAAGTGGATGGCTAGTTTTCTTACAAGTTGAAAGGATTTAAAATAAGGTTTAGTGTAAATTTTGTTGAATACAAAAGCATTCTTGATGTGTGTGAGCCTAGAAAAGATAATTACCCCTTTACTCGGCTTTCTGGGTGTCTGGTCAAGATTGAGTACTGCTGAGAATATTTAGAACTTAGGCAACTGGGAACTAGAGAGTAAGGGCTGCTTTGGTTTGGATGCTAATGGTGATATTTTTCCCCTGGGAGAAAAAAAGATTGAGTAAAACAAAATACTTTACATAAAATTAAGTAATTGACAAGGATATTGTTTTTATGACTTATTGAAAACATTGTTTTTTCCTTAAATGTTTTGTTCTACAGATTTAATAAAACTTTCTTTCGGTGTGTCGGGGTGTGTGTGTGAGTGTGTGCGCTCCGAGTGTGTGTGTATTTGTGTATCGGCGGTCCCGCAGGTCCCGGATGTTGCGCACAGTATGAGGCGAGCGCAGGGCGACGGGGACCAGCAGCTGTCGCCGCCGCTCTCAGGGTGAAGAGGGAACAGAAATCTTTGCTCCCTGACTTTGGAAATCTCGTTTAACCTTCAAACTGGCGATGTCAAGGGTTCCAAGTCCTCCACCTCCGGCAGAAATGTTGAGTGGCCCCGTAGCTGAGAGTTGGTGCTACACACAGATCACGGTAGTAAAATTCTCCTACATGTGGACCATCAATAACTTTAGCTTTTGCCGGGAGGAAATGGGTGAAGTCATTAAAAGTTCTACCTTTTCATCAGGAGCCAATGATAAACTGAAATGGTGTTTGCGAGTAAACCCCAAAGGGCTAGATGAAGAAAGCAAAGATTACCTGTCACTTTACCTGTTACTGGTCAGCTGTCCAAAGAGTGAAGTTCGGGCAAAATTCGAATTCTCCATCCTGAATGCCAAGGGAGAAGAAACCAAAGCTATTGGAGAGTCAACGGGCATATAGGTTTGTGCAAGGCAAAGACTGGGGATTCAAGAAATTCATCCGTAGAGATTTTCTTTTGGATGAGGCCAACGGGCTTCTCCCCGATGACAAGCTTACCCTCTTCTGCGAGGTGAGTGTTGTGCAAGATTCTGTCAACATTTCTGGCCAGAATACCATGAACATGGTAAAGGTTCCTGAGTGCCGGTTGGCAGATGAGTTAGGAGGACTGTGGGAGAATTCCCGGTTCACAGACTGCTGCTTGTGTGTTGCTGGCCAGGAATTCCAGGCTCACAAAGCTATCTTAGCAGCTCGTTCTCCGGTTTTTAGTGCCATGTTTGAACATGAAATGGAAGAGAGCAAAAAGAATCGAGTTGAAATCAATGATGTGGAGCCTGAGGTTTTTAAGGAAATGATGTGCTTCATATACACGGGGAAGGCTCCAAACCTCGACAAAATGGCTGATGATTTGTTGGCAGCTGCTGACAAGTATGCCCTGGAGCGTTTAAAGGTCATGTGTGAGGATGCCCTCTGCAGTAACCTGTCCGTGGAGAATGCTGCGGAAATTCTCATCCTGGCTGACCTCCACAGCGCAGATCAGTTGAAAACTCAGGCAGTGGATTTCATCAATTATCATGCTTCCGATGTCTTGGAGACCTCTGGGTGGAAGTCAGTGGTGGTGTCACATCCCCACTTGGTGGCTGAGGCATACGGCTCTCTGGCTTCAGCACAGTGCCCTTTTCTGGGACCCCCACGCAGACGCCTGAAGCAATCCTAAGATCCTGCTTGTTGTAAGACTCCGTTTAATTTCCAGAAGCAGCAGCCACTGTTGCTGCCACTGACCACCAGGTAGACAGCGCAATCTGTGGAGCTTTTACTCTGTTGTGAGGGGAAGAGACTGCATTGTGGCCCCAGACTTTTAAAACAGCACTAAATAACTTGGGGGAAACGGGGGGAGGGAAGGGCCCAGGACTCGGGGCTATTCAACCTAATGAAAACCCTGTTGCTGCGTCACTGTGTTCCCTTTGGCCTGGCCGAGTTTGATACTCTGGGGATTCAGTTTAGGCGCTGGCCCGAGGACATCCCAGCGGTGGTACTTCGGAGAAACCTGTCTGCATCTGACTGAGCAGAATAAATCGTCAAGTGCCTGGAGCAAAAAGGAAAAAAAAAGAAAGGACATTGTGTTTTAACAGAAGGGAAAAGGAAAGAAGAAAAGATTTTTGCAGAATTTCTCAAAAATCAGTTTGTGGATTCCAGTAGTATTTAGTCTTTCCAACTGTGCTAAAACTTGGATATTTGTGAAAACTCACCACCATACAAGTATCAGAAGAGCTCTCTTGTTGTTAGCACTTACTGTTTGCAAGAACAGAATGCATCCTTTTATCCTTTTATGAAAAATGACAAGTGAAGGCAAAAGGGGAAGGTTATTTGATCTGGAAGATAAGTGTTCTGATGTGGTGGCTTTTGCAAAAATCTTTATTGGTGTTGAAAACTGGAAAAAAATAACTCATCCAGAATTCATACTGTCTTGACAAGAACCATGGTTCTCTGTTTTTAGATATTGTGGAAAATGTTTTTGGGCATTTTTCTCTGATTTTATTTCTTCTCCCCCGCCCCTTTTTCTAAAAAACAAACAAACAAAAAAACACACAAAACAAAAACAGAACAAAAGAAGAGAAGAGAGAAGGAAATTTTATTAATTAAAGATGCTGTGTGATAAAATCCAAGCCCAGATTGCTCAGCTGTTTGTACCTGACTTGCCGCCTGCATAGGAGCCAGTTCTGTTCCTTCTGACTAGCCCCTTTTCCTCCAGGGGAGAAATTCCAAATGTTAATTTTTTCTTTTTGAAAATATAAATAATTACTATTTTGTAAAAAAAAAAAAAACTTTCTTTCATAAGCTATCTATAGTATGCAATAATTTGGTAAAGTATCTTTTTATGAAAGGTGGGAGCATTTGCTTTTTCTCCCTAATTGATTTCTCAAAAATTCAGAAACTAGTCATAAGTATTCTTATTTTTATTTATATAAGTTCAAGAAAAATTTGCTGTCTCTTTATAAGCAATATATAATTGGAAACATTGGCTATGTTATCAAGGTTTTGACTGATATGTCATATTTATGAATATGCATAAAATACCTGGCTTTAGGAGTTCCCAGCCTTAGTGAATGAGTAGACATTGTCACTTCCTGGAGGGCCCAGGAACCTTAAGATTTTAAGTAACATTTAAAGCCTGCCGTGCATTGGTTTTCTAGCCTCAACAGGTTTTTAAATCTGGGATTCCTATATGATCAATGTGGAGATAAAAAGTTACATTTCTGAAGAAAAACTAAAGTACACCTGTTATTAGATTGTAACCCTGTGCATTGTTTTTAAGTTCTTACCTACGTGCAGACCGCACTAGATCCTGAATTATCCTAATTTCTCTAATATTTGGCTACAACTAATCCTGATAAAGTATCCCAACCCTCTTCCCCCAAGCAAAATTACACATAATTTGGGGATATTAAAGGTACATCTCCCCTACTTAAAACTAACAAGGTATTAATTAATTAGGTATTAAAATGGGAGATGAACCAGTCAGAGCTCTGGATGACACAGGAACTACTCTATCTATCCTTAATTTTGACACACTTTCCACATCCCCTCTCTGGAGTTCTGAATTCATCAAGATGGTTGGGGTAGCCAACCAACCTATGATTCTTAAATCTCTATCTATACCCTTCCAGCTTGGGCCCCTCACTCTCAGTCATTGCCTTTTGCTTGTCTCATTGTCCCACATACACCTCATGGGAAGAGACTTTTTAGAAACTTGCCGTGCCTATATTTCCTTGTCCCAAAAAGAGGAAGTAAGTTATAAGCTTGAGCTGTCCTTGCCAGGAGATTTTGTCAAAAAAAAAGGGCTTTTACCTAAGTTTCCATCTGTTCAGTTAGCCTCGCTAATGCTACCTACCCTGATCTCTGAAAGCTACCTGAGAGTCTTCGGGCATGATTCAACACCAATGATAACCCCTCAGATTATGAAGATGACAGTGGTAGACATTCCTAAGGATTCCATTTACCAAGAGGAGTTAACCCTAGTGAAGGAGCTAGATAAGGAAGTTTTCTGGAGTTCTGATTTGAACTAGGCCCTGCTTGGGATGAATATATGATCAGAAACCTTTACTACACTGTTAACAAAATTGCCTATACCACTAACTAGACCATCAGGGTGTAACAGAGGTCCCTAGACTTCTTTGCTTGTATGGCCCTAGGCAACTGCATTACTTTAGACTATTACCTTGCTGTACAAGGTGGTGTTTGTGCTGTTGCTAACACTTCCTACTGCACCTGGGTAAATACTTTCAGTCAGGTTGAATTAGAAACATGTAAGATCCTAAAGCTGGTCAAATCTTTGAAAGGAACATCTTCACAAAGCCTCCTGGATGGCTTACTGGACCAAATTTCTGATTTCCAAATATTTTCAGCTGGCTCCCCACCAGATCCCTTCTATGTCCTACCCTACAAGTATTAATAATCCTCTCATATTTGGGCTAAGCATTTGACTCCTGTTTAAAATTCTTCTATCCTGTTTTAATAGATGCCCACAAGAGACTTCCCACTAGTATCATGTTGACCCAATGCTTTTAAGACTTTAAATTCACTCCAGCTGGAAACCAGAACCAACTTAACCCAAGAGACTTTGATTCAAATGCAACAGTACCTGAGTGCCTCTCATAAGTAAATGGCTCTGGTTGCTCAATTGGCCACTGCCCTGCCATTAGGATTCCTGCACAGGACTAGATAGACTCACAGCAGGTATCAGCTGTGTGTTGCAGTGGCCCTTTATGAGTTTGAGGACGTTCTCTCTACTTTTAGTTTTCAGACAGCTCTTTTTAGGAAAGGATGTTGGATTTTTGTGAAATGCTTTTTGTCTCTCTATATACTGATGAATCTTTTATCTTCATATTTTAATTGTAATTAGATGTAGTACTGGTTTTTGAAGTTTTATTTTATATTTAATTGACATAAAAATTGTATATATTTATGGTGCATAATATGACGTTTTGATACTAAACTTTAGGGAATGATCAAATCAGGCCAAATAATGTATCCATAATCTTAAACACATCATTTATTTGTGGTTAGAACATTCCAAATTCTTTTAGCCATTTTGTAATATACAATACATAATTATTAACTGTACTCACCACACTGTATAATGGATCAACAGTACCTATTCTTTCTGTGCAACTAAAACTTTGTATCCTTTGACCAACACCTCCACTTTACCCCTCATCTGCACCCCAGTATCCACAGCCTCCCTTCCAACCTCTGGTAACTACCATACTACTCTATTCTTCTTTGAGTTCCCATTTTTTTAGGTTCTATATATAAGTGAGATCATGCGTATTTATCTCTTAGTGCCTGGCTTATTTCGCTTAGCCTACTGTCCTCTAGGTCCATCTATGTTATCACAAATGACAACATTTCTTGCTTTTTTAGTATTTTATTGTGTGTATATATATCACATTTATTTAGTCCATTCATTGGTTGATGGGCACTTCTGTTGTTTCCATATCTTGGCTATAGTGAATAATGCTGCATTGAGTATAGGAGTGCTAATATCCCTTCAACATACTGATTTCAATTCCTTTGGATATATACCCACAAGTGGGATTGCTGGATCATATGGTAATTATATTTTTAGTTTTCTGAGGGACTTCCATACTGTTTTCAAAAATGGCTGTACTAACAATACCACCAACTGTGTACAAGGGTTCCCTTTTTTCTACATCTTCACCAACATTTGTTATCTTTCATCTTTTTTTTTTTAATCATATCCAGTCTAACAGGTATGAGGTGATAGGTCATTGTGGTCTTCATTTACATTTCTCTGATGATTAGCGATGTTGAGCACTTTTTGTATATGTGTTGGTCATTCATATGTCTTTTTACATTTTTTTACCTTTTTTTTTTTTTTTTTTTAGAGACAGGGTCTTGCTCTGTCACCCAGGCTGAAGTGTAGCGATGCAATTATAGCTCACTGCAACCTCAAATTCCTGTGCAACCTCAAATTCCCAGACTCAAGCAATCCTCCCACTTCAGCCTCCCAAGCAGCTGGGACTACAAGCACATGCTACCATGCCTGGCTAATTTTTTAAAAAATTATAGAGATGGGGTCTTGCTATATTGCCCAGGTTGGTCTTAAACTTCTGGCCTCAAGCAGTCCTCTCACCTCAGCTTCCCAAAGTGCTGGGATTACAGGCATGAGCCACCATGCCTGGCCTTTGTGTGTGTGTGTGTGTGTGTGTGTGTGTGTATGTGTGTATGTGTATAGAGACAGTGTGTATGTCTTCTTTTGCAAAACATCAATTCAGGTCCTTTGCCCATTTTTAAATAGGGCTATTTGTTTTCTTGTTATTGAGTAGTTTGAGTTCCTTGTATATTTTGGATATTAGCCACTTATCTGACATATGATTTGCAAGTATTTTGTCCTTATCTGTGGGTTGTCTCTTTATTGTGTTGTTGTTTGTTTTGTTGTGCAGAAGTTTTTAGTTTGATGCAATTTCATTTTTCTATTTTTGCTTTCATTGCCTGTGCTTCTGGGGTCATATAAAAAAAAATCTCTCTTCCTATAGTACTGTTATGGAGCTTTTTCCCTGTTTTCTTCTAGTAGTTTTACAGCATCATGTCTTACATTTAAGTCTTTAATCCATTTTGAGTTGATTCTTCTATAAGGAGTGAGATAAGAGTCCATTTTCATTCTTCTGCATGTGACTATCAGATTTTCCCAGTATCATTTATTGAAGAGGATGGCTGTGATCATATTGTGGTTAGTACTTTCAGTTGTGTATTATTCCTATTTTAAATATTACATTACTTGATTTGTTAAATATTTTAAAATTTTTCCATCTGTGTTCATGATGAATGTGTCTGGCAGTTCTTTCTTTTAATATCTTTGGTTTTCTATAAGAGCAATGGAAAGAATTTGTATAGAATTGTTATTATTTCTTCCATAAATGTTTGGTAAAATGCAATACTAAAATCATCTGGTCCTGGAGTTTTCCCTGTGAGAACGTCTTTAACTACAGCATCAGTTTTTTAAATAGATATAGGGTTGTCCAGATTCTGTATTTCTTCTTGAGTAAGCTTTGATAGTGTAAGACTTTCAAAGAATTTGCACATTTCTTAAAGATTGTCTAATTCATTAGCATTAAGTTGTTCTTAATATTCCGTTTTAACCATTTAAAAATCTGTAGAACCTCTGGTGATGTTTCTTCTTTTATTCCTGATATTAATTATTTGCAATGGGAGGTTTATTAATTTTATTGATCTTCTCAAAGAAATATTTTTTTTTTGAGACAGGGTCTCACTTTGTCGTTGCCCAGGCTGGAGTGCAGTGGCATGATCATGGCTCACTGCATCATCGACCTCCCTGGCTCAGGTGATTCGCCCACCTCAGCCTCTTGCATAGCTGGGACTACAGGCACGCACCACCACACCTGGCTAATTTTTGTACTTTTTTTATAGAGACAGGGATTCACCATGTTCCCCAGGCTGATCTTGAACTCTTCATCTCAAGCCATCTACCCACCTCGGCCTCCTAAAGTGCTGAGATTACAGGCGTGAACCACTGTGCCCAGCCCTCAAATAACTATTTTTAAATTGCACTAATTTTTTTTTTTTTTTTTTGACTGCTTCATTGACTTTTTTTTTTTTTTACTTTTTTTAAACTATTTTT